GCTTCCACACACACACACCCCACCCCACCCCGCAAACACTTTGTTAGTGTTACATATGAGTGAGTGAGTTTAGCTTTACGCCGCACTCAGCAATATTCCAGCTATATGGCGGCGGTCTGTAAGTAAGCGAGTCTGGACCAGACAATCCAGTGATCAACAGCATGAGCATCGGTCTGCGCAACTGGGAACCGATGACATGTCTCAACCAAGTCAGCGAGCCTAACCACCCGATCCCGTGAGTCGCCTCTTACGACAAGCATAGTCGCCTTTTGTGGCAAGCATGGGTTGCTGAAGACTTTATATACCCCGGATCTTCACGGGTCTGTTACATATGAAGTATGCTCTTTTCAATGAAGAAATAACAGAAATTAAGGAATCCACAGATCTCCTGAATGAGTGAGTGAGTACTTTTGGCTGCGTCCAAATTTGTAAAGTACACATGTACTAAAACGACTAAAGCCTTATAACACTGGAAAGGTGGGTTTTTTTCTTTTTTCTTTTTTCTTTTTGCACTTTTCGAGTATAGGCTAGTCCCATTTTCCCTACCAAATACCATTGGATCCAGGACAGACCACCGTCATTAACAGCAGGTGTTTGTTCTCACTAGACAGTTTATGCGACAGAGAATCTATTACATACTGTTCTTTCTACACGAACAGACCCCAGTTGTCTTGTTTAAAGGCCGTTCTAAGACGATATCTAAACCTGTTTGTTGATTTCTTACAAAAAGGGTCATATGTGACGCGACACCGGACAAGCGTTTCAAGGTTGCTATACCCCGGGTGGCCGTAAGAGAATAAACATCTCAACGCGCCCGTCTATACTAATCCTGAACAGGAAAGGTGAACTTTATTCTTTATTTCTTCGGCACGTGGTTGTGATTGAAGAAGCAAGATACATATCATTCACCCACCCAGCGGGTGACGAGAGTGTAAATCGGTGCAGCGTTCAAACAATCACCGTAGTGTTAACGTTGTTAAAAATTAACATCCACAAAAAGAAAGTAGCAAAATAGAACTATCGTTGCTTGACTAACTGGAGAATCAACAGAGGTCCTTTTAAGATAAAACGTAACTTGCTTTGAAACTTTCTTCAAGTGCCGCTCCAGTTCGCCGTGCATTTAAACACCGGTAACTTGAAACAGAACCCATCTATTCATTGAGCTGTCGGCCTGTCGAGGTGGGAACTTAAAGTTATTGGAAAAGTAATTTAACACTCTGCGCAAATCAGCGTTGTTTGTGCTGATCCAGCGAGAAATCTCCCTTGCCATACAGTGGGCAAATAATTATGTGTTTTGACTTTGGAGATAAGATGATTCAGTCCTGTATGATTATATTTGCAATAAGAACACGAACACACTTCATTGCTTTTAGCAATATTCCAGCAATACCACGGCGGGGGACACCAGAAATGGTCTTTACACATTGTACCCATGTGGAGACTCGAACCCGGGTCTTCGGCGTGACGGGCGAACGCTTTAACCACTAGGCTATCACACCGCCCCTCACCAGAGAGTATCACCTGAACATTGAAATAGTTATGAACAGTTCGGGGCGGTGGGGTAGCCTATTGGTTAAAGCGTTGGCTCGTCACGTCGAAGATCCAGGTTCGAATCCCCACATGGGTACAATGTGTGAAGCCCATTTCTGGATGTCCCCCGCCGTGGTATTGCTGGAATATTGCTAAAAGTAGCCTCAAACCAAACTCAGTCAGTCAGTATTAACAGTTCACCCAATCTTTAAAGCTCTAGCCAATTGGAAGTAGTGCGTGTGTACTAATCCTACTGCAGATACTGTGTGCTGCACGTGATAGTGTCCGCTGCACGTGCAGTCCATGCAAACCGTGATATTTGGCTGGGTTTGACGCCAGAGAACAGTGTGTCGTGTTATCATGGAGCGGTTACGATAAGATATAAAATTTAGCAAATGCTAAAGTTTTATGTCAGAAATGTTACGTTCAGAGATCAACGAAGAGTACTAGGTTCCTTTCGACGTGGCATTCTGTGGTTATGTATTGAGACCCGCCGTTACACCAACAACTCACGTCTTTCTCCTGCTGGAATATGTGAATTATGTTTGTTGTCAATTCAATGTGACCTTAACTTGGCCTGGAGATGAATGGTACTTTTTACTTGATTGTACATTCTAAGTTTTTATTTTTCAGCAGAAACCTTATCTGAAGCTCATGCGGTGTAATAAGCTTATCGTTTATGAGTGGAGATTCATAGCAAGCGGGCATATCTAAAAATATAAATGTATTTAAATGTGTATATGATATAGATATGCACGTTAAATCTCTCCCTCTCCCTCTTTCTCTCTCTTTCCCCCTCTCTCTCTCTCCTTTTCTCTTGGGGCGGTGGGGTAGCCTAGTGGTTAAAGCGTTCGCTAGTCACGCCGAGGACCCGGGTTCGATTCCCCACATGGGTACAATGTGTGAAGCCCATGTCTGGTGTCCCACGGCGTCATATTTCTGGAATATTGCTTAAATAGGCGTAAGACCCAACTCGCGGGGTAGCCTAGTGGTTATATGCCTAGTGGTTTTATGCCGAAAAGTGGCATAAAACTAAACTCACTCACACATGAGATACTAGGCCTTGTGCATTTGGATTATCGACTTAACATGCCAACATGTCGCTAGATTGATGGTGTGAATTGCATCAAAACCGACTCCACAGTACATGGTAAGGTCTTACTGTCCTTTGTGGACGGGCTTTTCATATGATCTAAACCGGCTGAATTTCTGCCGATGAGACGTTTCAACTCCCTCTGTGTACTCTATGCGATCCCGTGGCCAGGCATCGACTTAAAGCCAGTCTCCAAACGTTGCCAGAACACCAACTAAAAACATCGGTTCTGAACAGCTGTCAGTTGAACTCAAACACTTGCCCTTTACTGCAGATCCCCTGGTTACTAACTAAAGCCTGGGGCGCTGGTCAGACTTGAACCACAAGGGTCTAAAGTTTATCCAAATCGCATGCGTAGCCAAAACATTGTCAAGACAAGGGCCATGTTTCGCTGATCAAATTTGGACAGTCCATAGTGTAGTGTCTGGACTTAAGATGGGGATATAGAGGGGGTTCGAGGGGTGTTTATTTCGGGGTCCCCCTGACCGAACTGCTTGCTTTACCCTGTCCATGGCCCAATAGCAGAGTCAAGACCAATCAGGGTCACTCGGAACCCCTTGCACCCAGTGTCTCGATGTGGAGCGTGTTTAGACGGGATTCATTATGAATTGCCCACATCTAAAACATAAGGATATGTGGTCATGTGAATCCAAACAGACTCGACAGCCTGACAACATTTGCAGGTCCGTGGCAACTGGAGTTAAGTACACGATTTGATGTCGAAATCGTTAATGTGAGGGCAGTATACTGGGGGTGATTTACAGGGCATGTTGGCTCGATTGTCCGGTAAACACGTTTCCCCTCAGTGACGTGAAGGGCCGGGGTTTTGAGTTGCGGGGGACTGGCGACTGTGTGGACGATATCAGTACACATCGAACGTCCCCATCTCACCGAAGACATACATGTTTGTATGTGCATACACAAATAGCAAGTAGTGTCATTTGGCCTATTGCTTGCTATAAGGCTTATCGCAGTTGGCGACAATGTGTTCATTCAGAATCACAGAGTGTTTATATTGTCGTCGGCATCATCATCATCATCATCATCATCGTGAAGATCCTGGTTAGAATTGATATAATAATTTAACAAACCATGCTCTGCTTCAGAGGCGACTAACGGGATCGGTGACTTGGTTTATATCACCGAAACCCAATTGCGTAGATCGATGCCCATGTCAGTCACTGGATTGTCTGGTCCAGATTATCCTGTCGATTATTTACAGACCGTCATTATTTACGTCATATAGGTGGAATATTGCTGAGTACTGCTTTAAACAAGAAACAAACAATCAAAACAAGGACTTACCACCTCGGGGTCAGTGTAATGTATCTATGCTGGGGTGAATGAGTATGGTTTTACGTCACTTTTAGCAAATATTCTAACAATATCACGGCGGGGGATACAAGAAATGGGCGTCACACATTGTACCCATGCTGAGAATCTTCGGTGTGACGAGCTAACGCTTTAACCACAAGACTGCCCCATCGCCCCCTGTGCAATTGGATTGCGATGACATGTCGAACCCGGGTCTTTGGCGTGACCACTAGGCTGGCTATACTGGGGTGTCCATGGTGAACAATGCATGACTTGACATCTAATATTGGGGCTTCGATAAAACCGGCATAAGGGGCCGTTCATAATTTATGGCTTACGGGGATGATGATGATGATTTTTATAGAGAAGCATGTACAATGTGAATGTGACACCCCCCTGCATGTCATGTACAAAATCAATGACTCCCCTCCCCTTCCCATAATTTCTAAGCATAATTTTAAACATATTTTTATGTACAAAATTGATGACACGCCCCCCGCCCCCAGTACGTGTGTACAAAATTGATGACCCCCTAGCTCCCCAGAACAAAATTGTTGACCCCCTTAAAATCATCATAGCACCCCCTAGCCATACGCACACACACGCACACGCACACGATGAACCCCCATCTCTCCTCCCCTGTAATGATGACTAGTGCCCAGATGCAGCTGTGACGTCAGCATGCGTGCACATGTTGGAAGGACCACATTTCAATTGTGTCACGTGATGTTTGTGTGCAATGGAAAATGTCGTGTGTCAGTGATACAACAAATACAATGTTTTCCTCTGAAATATAAACATTTCAACCCACCGCCTGTAACATCAAGAATGTCACTGAACGATTGTTTGGGGTATAAAACAACAACTTTCACCATCATTGTAAGGAGAGAGTTTAAATGCCGGGGTCCCGATCCACAACGCGTTCGTAACGTTACGATCTGTCGTTGCTTGACGAATGTCGTAGGGCTACGGACGTTTTGTGGATCATGGTTCAGAGGTGAGGTGAGGTGAAATTGGGTTTTACGTCGTGCTTGAGAATATTTCGCTCATATGACGACGTGCATGCGTGTGTATGTGTATGTGCGGCTGCCTGTACTAGCCCAGACTGAAGCTGGTTTCTGATATACCATGCCGCAGTGAAGCATGAATACCCCACTCAGACACAGTATACTGACTCCGAGCCGACCAGTACTTGTTGTACCAATTAATGCCGAGCGCCAGGCAGGGACCAACAAGTACCATATTTTAACGTCTTTTGGTATGACGCGGTCGGGGATCGAACCCGCGACCTTCCGCTCTCCGGGCGGACGCTCTAACCACTACACCACGGAGGCTGTCCATGGTTCAGAGACATAAAGATACCGTATAGTTGAGTTTTACGTAAAATCAAATCTATCTGTCTTTTTTTACTCAGGGTATGAACATATTGAACACATTCTGGTATCTCATAATCACTAAACCTCCCGTAGAAACTATGACACTGACATTATTGCAGTCTTTAAACACGGCTATAAATCGTTCGTACTAAATAGTCTCTGTGGCAATTCAAACAGTAACGCTGAACAGAGAGTTATTGTTGTAAAAAAATCACTTTGATTGCATGTAATGCAGCATTAAATCAGTCCTTTTTTAAAGAAGGGATCAAGTAGGCTTCTTGGAGACTTTTTACAATCCTGTTGACTGTCAATAAACTAAGTGTGAATCGGAACGTTGTGACGCACAGCATAAATGCAGCTATCCAGGTTCTCCGTTCTTGAATAAACGGGCTCAGCATTTAAAGCAGAAAGAAGGTTAAGTCTTTTATGTGAAAATGGTCCTTGGCTCATTCCTAATGGTGTAAAATAAGAAAACAAAATGGATAAAAACACCACAAGGATAATCCACTTAATCAGCCCGTACACATCGACAGGGGAAGTAATTCTACTGCCTGACATGGAAACAATCCAAACTGCGCCAATTGTAAAATGAACGTGTAGTAACATCGTCGTTGTTCAAATAAAACAACAACGCCGCGAAGTCGTCACAGAAACAACATTGCGCAAGGTGCTCTTTCTACGTCAAGGCATTACATCTCAAAACACAGCGCACATGTGTGGTTTCGGTTGTTGCCAAAATCCGACAAGAAATATCTGCTTTAAAAAATAAGCACACCGAAATATAAAAACAATTGTCACAGGATCTTTGACATCAGTAGAATGAAAAGATGAACTCCATCGCGAGAATACCTTTAGGGGTTTGTATTCAAGGTGCTAATACACCCCGAACGGGGTCGCTTACACTCACAGTTTACGTTAAAATCCACGGGATTTATCAAGTGTTTCAGATATTTTTCTCGTTTTAAGCGTTTTTAACTTAAAACCTATTTTGAATTAGAACGTATTTAAAATGTCAATCTGAAATGCCAATTTTCCAAGGTTAAAGTCAGTAAATTGGCCACTTCTTGCACGTTGTATTTTATATTTACGAGTTGTAAAGAATAAGTATTAACTTGTGACTGAGGACGTTTAACACCTCTCTAAGACACCGTTTGCTGAATTTGCTGAAGGTATATGATGTTTGGACAAAAGAGCAAACTTATGATTGTTTAATCACCGTTATACCAGTGCTCGTGTGTTTCAGCAGTTTGTTTGTTTGTTTGTTTAACGCCGCACTCAGCAATATACCAGCTATATGGCAGCAGTCCGTAAATAATCGAATCTGGACAGAACAATCTGGCGATCAACATCATGAGTATCGATCTACGCAATTAGTATACGATGACATGTGTCAAACAAGTCAGCGAGCCTGCCCACCCGATCCCGTTAGTCGCCCCTGGGTTGCTGAAGACCAATTCTAACCCGGATCTTCACGGGTGGATGACGTCAGAGGTAAATGTCTTACACCCGCATCGCTACCGTGTCTAATACCCCTTTAAATGTAACTGAAATACTGTTCAAGTCTGCTTTGAATTTTCAATTTTCGAATCTGTTTTGATACATGTACCAACGCAAATATGTTGACCTTCTATGCGGTTAAGCGTCGCCTAGCAGAATATTATAATGTACGGGTCACACACTCTGGTATCTCTCACTAGTTAAACGAAATTATAAGTGAACGTCTAACTTAATTATATCTGTTTACATATGACTTATACGACGCCGGACATACACGGTATCTTCCTTGATAATGTAAGTAAGCGTTACACCAAACGCCGTGTGTGTTCATAAGCCAAACGTGATACGGGCTGACACGATCGCCTGCAGCACGGTTCGGGCTAATCAGTTGGGTCGTTATCCGTCGCCCAATAATTATTTGTAAGGTAAAGATCATGTGAAGCTTGTCGTAGCTCTGGTTATTTAATACGTCACTGATCAGTGTCACCAGAACCCTGTCCACGTGTCATCCTTTTGAAAATGTTGTGTAATTTCACAGATAACGGCAAAGGTGTATTCGAACTTATCACACACTCGACTTAAGACTAGAGAAACGCCGCAGCAAGAAAGGGGTCAACAGTGATTTTGCAATTCGCATTCTGTTATCCTTCAAATTATATCATGAGGTGATTATGTGTTTGTTATATGATGGTTTTTGGGGTATATTTGACAAGCTTTGCAATTTTAGAATGCATAATCTATTATAGGTACGCTTAAAAATAGTCTACCGTCAGCTCGTTCACCCATACCCCCTTCCCTCTACCCACCCCTCTCCCCGACAGTTTATGTTGAGGGGGTAGCTTAGTAAATGTGTATGCGCTGTCCTTTTGGGAGAAACGAGAACGGCGGAAAGCCTAGTAGCTAAAGCGTTCGCTCGTCACTCCGAAAACCCTGGTTCGATTCCTCACGTAGGTACAATCTACAAGACTACTTCTGGTGTGCCCCGCCGCCATGTTGCTGAAGTATTGCTAAAGCAGCGTAAAACATCATTCATCACAATACACATTCACTGGAAGAAGTATCACCCCAGCACAGTTACCTCTGTTATATATCCGTCTATCCTTTTCGCCGCAGGGCTTTGAAAAAAAGAAATAGGAATTGCAAAAGGTTTTGTCTTCTATGGTCTAAGACATATTTGTTGCCTGATCTAATCGCAAAATAGTCCGTCTTCCTGATGTTTACGCACAAAACAAATTGTGACTCACTTTTCTATTTTGTTCGAAGAAAAAGAGCACGGGGGCCTTGAAAATTGATTCTCTAGGAACAGATCTTGAAGACATCGTAAATTGTCTGAAGGTGACACGCATCATCCTACCAAAAACATGTCGAACTGTCCTTGACCTTCAGGTGTATGGAGCTAGAGAGCTAGAAGTGAAATGCTTTACCGGTATAAAAAGATGCTATTGTAGGTCTATATCGGCAGGAAAATGCTATTCAGCTGTATTTAGCTACAAGCAAAGCTAGGAAATAGTTCTAATCTAACAGGAAGAAAGGAATCGTTGGACCAGGAGGTCTGTATTGTTGGAGAGCACCTTGCGCCACTAATCCCTAGGCATATACCGTAAACATTCCTGTGACAAATAGCTCTGTAGGCTCTGATACTTAACATCTATAGTGGTCAGATGGCTCTTTGTCGATTGTCAGTAAACAACGTATATAGATATATAGACATGTGTGCAGTAGAACACTGGTGATTAACGACCCTAAAATGTGATTGATAATGTCATGTAAGAGCGTCGCTTGGGGATATGCGGAATGGAGAGATAATATTTCATAATGCCACGTTTTTTCTTGTTTTATGTCTTATCCATTTACCTTAATGTTTGGCATCATCAATCTAGGGAATATATGTGGGGCGAGGTAGGTGTAAATGGAGGATTCACCACGAGCGTTTTCTAATATGGGATATAACAACCTTGTCTTAGTTATCGTTTTTTGTCGAACCTTGTCCAAGTTAGTCGATATGTGTCGAACCTTGTCCAAGGTAGTCGATATGTGTCCAAGTTAGTCGATATGTGTCGAACCTTGTCCAAGGTAGTCGATATGTGTCGAACCTTGCCCAAGGTAGTCGATATGTGTCGAACCTTGTCCAAGGTAGTCGATATGTGTCCAAGTTAGTCGATATGTGTCGAACCTTGTCCAAGGTAGTCGATATGTGTCCAAGATAGTCGATATGTGTCCAGTGTAGTCGATATGTGTCGAACCTTCTCTAAGTCAGTCGATATGTGTCGAACCTTCTCTAAGTCAGTCGATATGTGTCGAACCTTGCCCAAGGTAGTCGATATGTGTCGAACCTTGTCCAAGGTAGTCGATATGTGTCTAAGTTAGTCGATATGTGTCGAACCTTGTCCAAGGTAGTCGATATATGTCCAAGTCAGTCGATATGTGTCGAACCTTCTCTAAGTCAGTCGATATGTGTCGAACCTTGCCCAAGGTAGTCGATATGTGTCGAACCTTGTCCAAGGTAGTCGATATGTGTCCAAGTTAGTCGATATGTGTCGAACCTTGTCCAAGGTAGTCGATATGTGTCCCAGTTAGTCGATATGTGTCCAATGTAGTCGATATGTGTCGAACCTTCTCTAAGTCAGTCGATATGTGTCGAACCTTGTCCAAGGTAGTCGATATGTGTCGAACCTTGTCCAAGTTAGTCGATATGTGTCCAAGTTGGCCGGTACATGTTTTTGGGCACATGGTTCTTGTCGAGCCTCTGTCTCAGTTATACCAAATTGTCTATTCATTTTTTATCAACCATTTCTCGATATGCACATAACGGAATAAGCCGAGCGGACCCGAATGCAGTGGTCAATCACCATACTAAAATCTTCACTCACAGATATTTGCTACTTTGTGTACAGTGATATGACCGAGACTGAGTGAGTGAGTTAAAGTTTTGCGCCGCTTATAGCAATATTCCAGCAATATCACATCGGGGGGCAAATTATGGGCTTCACACATTTTACCGATGTGGGGAATCGAACCGTGTCTTCGGCGTGACGAGCGAACGCTTTAACTACTAGGCTACCCCAGCGTCCCATCATGGCCGAGAGACTCAAGACGGTAAACTTGTCACCAGCGCGTGTTGAAATGCTTGTAACAACATTTTGGGGGATAGAAAATGCATTACTGATATCCACAACTGGGAGATAAACGTCTAAATAGTTTCT